GCTGGACACCAGCTCCCGCCATGGACAAGTTTTTTGAAACAGCTGCGGTTGTTACCTTATCGTTTCCACTTCCCTCTCCCCCATCGGTTCCATGTCTACGGCGCTTTGTCGTAGCCACCACCACCTCATCCTCAGACATACTCGTGGGTGCGACAGCCCCACTTCCCTGTCCCCCATCCACTACACGTGGCTTGACTCCCAGTGGTCGTGGTTTCCCGCCTACCGGAACAAGCCAGCTATCCCCAACCGCTCTAGGAGCGCTCCGGGATCCACCAGCTCGCAAATCCGGACCGTACAGGTACCTTTCGACCGGAACTCCAGCCTCCCTAGCGTGTATGCAGAAAGTATGCAAGTGACCCATACAACCACAAAAGTAACAAAACTTATGCAGCCGTTCATACCTGAAATTGACCCATGTTGTTGTCCCATCTCTCTTCATCAACCTCATCCTCCTTCTAAGCGGCCTATCAACCGAAATTGACACCCGAATACGATGAAAAGTTAACCATGGTGCCCCTTCGAATCGCTCATCATGCTTAACAAATAAGCCCAGAAAATTCCCTGCCTGTTCCAGAATTGCGTGAGATGTGTACCCCTTAGGCATATCATGCAACTGTACCCACATATCAATCATGTCCAGCTTAACATCCACAGGATTCACCCCATCCAACACCTCCCGACACACAAGAGCATTGTTCTCAAAAGCCCAGGGACCCCCATTTAGCACATAATCCATGTCTGTTTTGTGGAAAAAAACAAACAAGAACAATCCCCTCTGAATCTCCGTCACCTGTACCCCGCGCACCGGCTGCCAAACTGACGCTAACACCTGCCGCATAAAATCAAGTTTTATCAACTTTTGTGTCAAAAACCGCCCTACCACCCTCTATGTCTCCTCCTCACCCTCCCCGCCTCCCTCAACCCCGTCATCCTCCCCTTCCGGCATAAACACCGCACCCTCCTCCTCCAGCAGTGCCCAATCCGCCCACCTATCCGTCAATTCCGCCACACCCCCCACTACCCCCTGTTGCCGTGTGACCCCCCCATCCCCCCTTCCACGTTGCCCCCTTTGCAATCCATCCCCCCCATTCAAACTGCCTCCCTCATTCAAACTTCCTCCCTCATTCAAACTGTCTCCCCCACCCAAACCATCCATACCAACCCCATTCAAATTACCCTTCCCGCCTGCCAACACACTGCCCCCATGCAACTCTTTTTCACACACCCTCCTTCCCCCAATTTGCCGTATCTGACTCATCACCGCCTCACCCCTTGCGAACTCCCTCCCCGCCGAAACGTCCCCAACAGTCCGCCGTACCTGCTGCCTCTCCTCCATCGTTCGGCGTAAGTCCGCCCCCTCCGACAGTTCCGCACCATACCGCCCATCATCCGCATTCGGCTCCTCCTCTCGCCCATTCAACTCAACATCCATAACAATATCACCGGCCATCGTCCGGAGAGAATGAAAACAAAGCTTCGTCGGAAAAAAACCTAGGAAACCCTAGTAGAAACCGCAAAAACCCTAGAGAGAATCTAGAGAGAGGATGTTAACTGGGTTATTTGTCTGTACTAAAATTTAAAGTTAAGTTCTATATATATAAAAATAAATAAATAAATAAAACCTACAGTTCAATTCATCAAACAAACTAAAAAATTTTCAATTCATAACATAATAAAATAACATCCAAAAATCATAATTAAAGGAGTCCATACAAGTTTTTAGAATAAAATTGAACACAATCAAAATTCAAATTTCAAATTGTTGAACATCAATAATTGGTGTAGAATCTAGGCCTAATGTAATAAATTCATCCTTAGTACATAATATCTTTTGTAATCTCAATAATGACAATGGTTCTTACATAAATGACAATGATTTTTAGCGGGTTATAAACAGGTTTGGTAAACGGGTTCGTGTTAACGCGTTAACACGACAATATTAACGGGTTCTTAATATGTTTAACGGGTTGACACGTTAAGACACGAAAAATAACGGGTCCTTAACGGGTCAACCCGTTAACAACCCGGGACACGTTAAGGCTAGACACTAACCCGTTATTTTCGTGTTCGGTTTCGTGTCATGTTAACGAGTCGTGTCCATAATTGTCAGGTCTAAACACAATACTCCGTATTAAACTAGCTCAAAAAGGATAATCATGTGAGTAAAGTATAATTTCGATAAAGGTTATGAATTCGTTTATTATCAATATCCTCTCATTTAAATCCGTTACACATGATTATAATTATATTTAATTCAAATCTAAAAAACAAATAAAATGTGATCTTTAATTTTAAAGGGTCTTTTAAAAAAATGTAATTAATATATAATGTTATTATATGATCATTGCATTTAATGTTAATATGCAATGTCACCTAAAATTTAAATCCATATTTAATGGTTGCTAATATTATATTTAATTTTTTTTTATACTTTATATATCCATTGTAATTGTCTACCTAGCTACCATTATTACATCTTATTATGGAAAAATAATAAGTGTACTCTTAGAGCACTGAATGGAAATTTTTCATTAGACTTTTAGCCAAATGAGAGAGTGTAAGAGGCCGGGTTACAATTAATTTATAGGTATTTTGAAGATTTTTTTTTGTTTTTTGTTTTTTTTTTAAAAAAGGTGAAAAGGGTGTCAATTCCCGTACATAATATGTCCAACCGGTGAGTGCAATTGTTGCCTCCTTGGGGTGGTTGTTTATCATTTTTTTTTTTTGAATGCCTCTTATCACATTTCTTTCATTTTTATTGATTGATGAAGTACGTAAATGAAATGACAAATATTATAACACTTTTTTTTTTTAATTCCAAAATCAATTTCTCAAACCCATAATTAATGATTACAACATACTATCTTCAACCTTTTTTTCTTTATATGATCATTATAATTGTTTGCCTAACTATCATTATTAAATCTTACGATAAAAATTAAAAAAACAAAAAACAAAACAAAAAACGTTAAGGTGTCAATTATGCAGAATGAAGAAAAACAAATGAAAAATATCATGGGTCCAAATTAATTACTCAAACCCATACTCAATGGCTACCATATATTTATCATTATTCTTTTTTTCTTTTTTGAAAAGCCATTATTCTTTTTTCTTTATATAACCCTTATCTAATTATCTATGTAATTATCATTATTATATCTTACTCTAGAAAATATAATGTTAAGTGTACTCTTATGATAATAAATTATATTATAATAATGTAATAAATATTATAACAAATATTTTTATTATAATGTAATAATAATAAAAACAGTACCGTAATGTGCTCCCAAATTAAAGCACCTTTGCTTAATTGCATCACCTATATTGTTTAACGTTTCGACGGTTATCAAATAAATTTCTGTAATTACCAAAAAATTAATTATTTGCGGTGCCTACGAGAAAAGTAATAAAGTATAAATATTTAAGGGAAAAAAATAGAATATAATAGTATGAATTTTTCATGCCTTTACCATGAGGTTGTAATAATTTAATTTCTCAATTAATAGAATATAATAGTATGACTTTCAAAAAAAAGAATATAATAGTATGAATCAATTTCTCAATTCAAACCCATAGCCAATTTAATTTCTATTTTTAAAAATTATATTATTTTAACGAATAATTGTGTTTGAATATTATTTTAAAGAAAAAAACAAATAAAACGTGATATCCTAGTTTTAAAAAATTACCCATTTTAAAAATACAGGATTGGTCCTTAATGTGATATAGTATGATTATGTTGACCGTTATTATGAGTTGTCATCCCAAATTTAAAATCATAATCAATAATTATCCCAAATTTAAAATCATAATCAATAATTACAATAATGTGTTATCTTTAAACTCTAAATAACTCAAATTTATCTTTTAACGTATTATAAATGATAAATGATTACAATGAACTCATATCGTGACATTCTTTTTTTTTTTTTCCCCTTCTAAATCAATAACAACATAACATCAATAGTAAAGAAAATAGAATAAAAGTGAGAGTAATTATATTATAATTATTTATATATTTCTTGATTGTCAACATGTACTTAATTATGAACCACCACAACCACCTACATACGCAGTACAATTGCCGTAATTTACTCGCATATACGTAATTTTGATATTATGTTCTTATCTATAATAGTGAATTTTTTATTTTTTATTTTTTATTTTAAAACTTAGATGATCTTTCGCCAGACTAATCTTAAATTCATATACGTAATTTTGATATTATGTTCACGAAATTAGTTCTTTGGTCACATCCTATAGCCTACATGTACGCACAATGGATCCAATCAGACCCTTCCATTATCATTGGGCTTTTTCCTATACATGTTTTCAGTGAGATTCAAATCCTCACACTGTCGCCTTCTATCATGACCTGACCTTTAAGTTAGGCGATGAACCAATCACGCTAAATGCCAGGGGCATAATAGTGATAATTTTGGAAATGCAAATAAAGTGATATCAAACTAGCCCTAAAATGGGTGACTAGCAGGTGAATACAGTATAATTCTTATATTAGAATATCACGAGTTCAATTTGTGTAATTGTGTTAACGCCTTTTTGTTCAAATATGACATACATGTTTATAATTGTGTTTGATTCAATTTTCAAGAAAACAAATAAAATGTGCTCTTTTATTTAAAACGACATTTAAAGGTGTAATTAGTCCAATTATTCGATCAAAAATTTAAATCTATAATTAATGATTGCCACATATTATATTTATTACTTTCTTACTTTATATAGCCATTGTAATTCTGTATTTAACTATCATTTTTACATTATTAAAAGTATGATATTTTCGAAAACAACAAAGAAAGAAAAAATTAAAGTTGCACATTACTTGCACAAATGATGCCCAACATGTGTGTATGTGCAATCATGGGCGATTGAAGTGGTCTCCAACCATTCTATTGAAATTAAGAATAAAATTCAAATAGGTCACTCAATTGCACACTAAAGCACCCAATTTTTCTTGCACAAGTTGCAAGTATATGAAATAAGTCGGGAGAGAGAACTTTCAAGTTTCAAATACACAAGTAAAGAAGTTCAAATGTTGCACTACAACAAAGAAAACAGGGAAGTTTTTCACTTCTACAGTAAAATATCTCTAGAGTTGAAAAGCTAGATTATGTTTCTCATCAGTAAAGCTAATCTCAATTTCAAGTTTCTGTTGCACCAAGCACTGGCTCTCATTGGCATTCCCAACAACTTCATTCTTTGGGTCCTCGCCCAAATTAACCAAACCATTTTCACCGTCATGGGAGCAAACGAGAGACTTGGGGAAAAAGCACATACCGTTCACATCAATCCACGCAACCGATCGGAAAGCCCCAGTGTCCAGATTGACTTCGATCATTCGGTGCAAGTCGATAACACATTTCGAGCCTCCAATCTCAGTCTCCACAGACGAAACGCCCTTCGAAAACCCCGCTTTCACCGCCTCAAAAACCTCCGTCTCAACGTCCACCCACGATTCCTCAACGTATCGCATGAACCGGGCCGGTTCTCCGCTCCGCTTGAAATTCGAGTAATTCTGAAGCAGCAGTTGCACGGGATCGTCGAGCCGCGCAGGAGCAAATGACGGCCCCACCGACACCAGTTTCGCGGGGACGGAGACCGGAATCGTAACCGAAATCCTACCGCTATCTACAACGCGCGAAACGACGCCGATCTCCTCCTTACCGGACACCACAGCTTTCGCCGTCACTTTCACCTCCTTCGATTTCAAATCCATGGCCGAATTCTAGAGAGAGAGAAAAAACAAAAAATAAAAAACAACAACAACAAAGCAAAGCTATACAAATGAATTAACGAGAGAAGCTCTTTGAGGACTGAACACCGAGAACTCCTGAAGAAGAAAGCTTTGGCGCCTCCGTATTTATAGATCCCTATTGCACTGACGAATATGGGTCTCAGGGCACAGCAACATTGGCGTGCATACTAAGGGCAAATAAGGAATTTCACACCGAACGTTTTTAAACCGTCATCCCTCCTTGACTTCTAGACGAAGGAGCTGCTACCCAGTGGATTAGGTTGCAATTAATATTAATGACTCAGCATTTAGCAATCCTAATAATTTGGGATTTATTCGGCCCTTTTTGAGATTTCTTCGGCCCAAAGAAATTCCAGAATAATTTTTTACTTTTTTTCTTTGTCAAATTAAAATTAATATATACGTATAACTGGTACTAATGGGTGAGATTATTTTTCGTTCACGAGAAAAATCTACAATCACTATATGAAAATATACACAAAAAAATCATGTGCACTAAGTTAATTATTTTTGTGCATAGTAACTCTATGGGTCCCACATCCCGGCCCAACAACATAATTAGAAAAATGTAAATCATAGGAATTTTCATACTGGAGTTGTCAACGTTTAAACATTGGTCTATTCTCTCAAATACTGCTTACTAAACTAGTGAGCTAAGTCCATGCGGCCAATAATTTATCAGATTACGCTTACATTAACAATTCATCGGTGACTTCCCAACTACTACAGGCGATTTTTATTTATTGTAATCAACTAAATTCAATTCAAAGTATTAAAAATGTCATGCATGACATAGTGTAAAGTTAAGTGAAAATGAATATATTTTAGACATTTTAAGATAAAATTTATAAGTGAATATTAAAAGATGTAGGATCTCTTTAGGGATATTTAACTTTGTTTTAGGGATATTTAACTTTGTTTTTTAATACTCCGTATTAAATAGTTATTTTTTATTCTCATGACTTAGAATAATGATTTTTTTCCTTTTTGGGGAATTGGATTCTAGTCCAATCTACCTAATATGGTGCGAATTTTATTATCATAATTTGATACACATATTGCATTGGTTCACCCAACAAAAATCATACGGAATCTGAATTTTTTAATTTTAATATGGAGAAGGAGGAGATTAAATGCAAATAGCATGATACTCGTATTAAACTAACCCAAAAAGGATAATTGTGTGAGTAGAGTATAATTTCGGTAAAGGTTATGAATTCGTTTATTATCAATATCTTCTCATTTAAATCTATCACACATGATCATAATTGTGTTTAATACAAATCTAAAGAAAACAAATATGTGATCTTCAATTTTAAACGTCCATTTTAAGAAAAAAAAATTGTAATTAATATATAACGTTATTATATCATCATTGCGTTGAATGTTAATTAATATGCATGTCACCTAAAATTTAAACCCATAATTAATGGTTGCTAATATTATATTTAATTTTTTACTTATATAGCCATTGTAGTTGTCTACCTAACTAGCATTATTACATCTTATTATGGAAAAAATAATAAGTGTATTCCTAGAGCACTCACTCAATGGAGAATTTTCATTAGACTTTTAGCATCCAAAGAAAATGAAGCGAATCATTTTTTTTTTATGGATTAATTACTCAAATTGATAATTACTCACCTACATATTTGAATGACCCAGGATCACCACTAGGACTGGGCATTCCAGTTCAGGTAATCCGAACCGAACCAGTTCGGTTCGGTCTTAAACCAAAATACTGATCAGTACTCGGTTTAAAGAAATCTATAATAGATATATAATTTATTATAATAGATATATAAGTTAGAAAGTAAGAGATTTACCCATTAAGCTATAGACACATTTGTGTCAATACTTACATATTTATGCAAATAAAGGTATACATTTTTTATTAAATGTTGTACACTTCAATTATAATGGATAAAATTGTCGCTACTACATTCTTATTAGACAAAAGTATGTTGTACATTTCAATTATAATGGATAAAATTGTCCCTACTTGTACACTTCAATTATAATGGACAAAATTGTCCATACTTGTACACTTCAATTATAATGGACAAAATTGTCCCTACTACATTCTTATTAGACAAAAGTACCATCACCGTTACTATTTAATTCTAACTTTAGTAACTCTATCATACACCTATATCTATGATATCTTTTTCCAATTCTTTAATTATCATTTTGTTAAAATCATTATTTTTTTAATGTTATTAACTCTATTACAATGTAGTTTTTTTTTTTTTTTTTTTTCCACAACCTCCTATATGAAAATGCAATCTTGGTGCCATTAGACCACAAGGTCTTAGCATTAAAATCATTACATAATTACTTTAATTTCTATAAATTGGTAAATCGTGTGTGTGTGTGTGTATGGTGTGAAAATTGAATGTTATTATCATAATTTGATACACATATTGCATTGGTCCACCAAAAATAAATTGTGCGGAATCTGAATATTTTAATTTCTATAGGGGGGGAGAGGGGAATAAATGCAGATAAAGTGATACTAAATTAGCCTAAAAAGGATTATCATGAGTAAAATATAATTTCGATAATTCTATAGGGGGAGGGAGGGGAATAAATGCAGATAAAGTGATACTAAATTATCCTAAAAAGGATTATCATGAGTAAAATATAATTTCGATAAAGGTTACGACATGTGATCTGTGTTTGATATAATTTTGAAAAAAAAAAAAATTTACTTGTGTTTGATATAATTTTGAATAAATAAATAAATAAAATGTGATCTATAGTTTTAAATGGCCCTTAAAAAAATGTAATTAGTACATAACGTTATTATATGATTATTGTGTTGAATGTTAATATGTAATGTCACCTAAAATTTAAACCCATAATTAATGGTTGCTAATATTATATTTAATTTTTTTACTTTATATAGTCATTGTAATTGTCTACCAAATTATTATTATTACATCTGATATATTATTATTATAGAGAAATAATAAGTGTACTCTTAGATCATTCAATGGAGAATTTTTACTAGACTTCTAGTATATGTTGAGGAAAGAGAAACTTATGTGGCAAATGAGAGAGAGTGTAAGAGGGTTACAATTAATTTATAGGTTTTTTAAGAAAAAAAAAAAAAAAAGAGAGGTGAAAATGGTGTCATTCCCCGCACATAAAATGTCTAATGGGTGAGTGCACTTGTTGCCTACTTGGGGTGGTTGCCTATGATTTTTTTAAATGCCTCTTATCACATGTTCTTTCATTTTAATGTTTTATTGAATGAAGTAAATGAAATGACAAATACTATTAGCACTTTTTTTTTCCAAAATCAATTTTTCAAACCCATAATTAATGATTACAACATACTATCTTCAACCTTTTTATTTTATTTTATTTTATTTTAATTATCTGCCTAACTATCATTATTAAATCTTACATTAAATAATATTAAGGTGCAAATTCTGCTGAATGAAAAAAAAATCAAATTAAAAATATTGTTGCGCACTTTCTTTTTTCAAATTATTACTCAAACACATAATCAATGGCTACCACATATATATATATATATATATATATATATATATATATATATATATCCTTATAACTGTCTTACGTAACTATCATTATTATATCTTACTCTAGAAAAATGTTACTTTACCAGTCCGTTTAGTTCGTATCAAATATATTTGAAAAAGGAATGAAATTAAAATTTCATGAAAATTCCAGGAAGATGTATTCCATTGGTTAATTGAGTTTAGAATGATAAGAAATTATATGAATATAAATACCAATATGCTCCTAAAAATAATAATGATAATAAATTATATTATGATTACATATTTTATTATAATAATGTAATAAATATTATAATAATTAGTTTTATTATAATGTAATAAAAACAACACCGTAATAAAAGAAATACCAAAACACATTACGAAAGGTGCTTAATTGCATCGCCTATGTTGCTTAACCTTTCGGTGGTTTCCAAATACGTTTTGGTAACCACCAAAAAGTTAATTACTTTGCGGTGCCTATGGAAAATGTAATAAAGTATAAATATTTAAGAAAAAAGAAGAATAATAATAATATAATAGAATAGTCTATATTTTTAATGCTTTTACCATGAGGGTATAATAGTAGAACTACGTTATATTTTCTTCCCAAATTCACCATTGTGCATAGAATTTGTTTTCCTCAACTTTTAGGAGTATTTTTCAAAGGAAATTGAATTTCATGAACCAAACAACATTCTCCTCCACATTTAAGAAAATCTTTTCTATAGAAATTGTTTTCCATCCAATCAAACACCCCTCAAGTGTAACATTATGGTGTGAACAGTAAAGTTTTCACTTATATTGATTTTTTTTTTTTTTTTAGTATTATTGAATCAATTACACTGTAGTTTTTATTTATATTGATATCTCATTTGAGAAAATTACAATTATACCGTTTGACTACAGTTCGAATCAATACAGTTATGTCACTTGTATTGATTCAATTCAAAGAAGAAAATGAATCGACACACTACTTTTTTTTTTTATGGATTACTTACTCAAATTGATAATTACTCTTCCCCACCTACATATTTGACTTTTGAATGCACCATAATGGCATCACCACAACAACCAATTTAATTTACAATTACCATAATCTGCGTACCTATATTTTCAATATACTATCTACCCATCTATAATCAGGATGATGGTTTTAATTCATCCAGTGGGTATTTTATATATGAATTTAATTTATATTTTTAAAAATTTATACTATTTTCTTCTAAAAAAAACTATTTTAATGAATAATTGTGTTTGATATTACTTTAAAGAAAACACAAATAAAACGTGATAGTATAGTTAAAAAATTACCCATTTTACAAAGACATGGTTAGAGCATCCACACTAGTGGATAATATGGAGTTATTTCAGTTTGCTTTCTTCCCATCTAGAGTTAATAGCTAATGTGGGGTGGAGATAATTCAAAAATAATTGTCCTGCAAATGAAGGCATAATGTCAGAAATTTAAAAAAAAAATAATAAAAAAAATAAAAGAAGATGTAATTCGCGCACAGCCTGGGCAAAAGCCGGGTGCGTGCACTACACGCGCCCGGTGGTGCGTCAGGCGCACCAACTGACAGCATTAATTTTTTTATTTTTTTAAAAAAAAATCAATTTTTTTTTAATCTCTCCCCTCCCCCATTCTCTTTCCTAATCACTCTTACATTATCCCCACATTCTTCCCAACTAATGTGGATGCTCTTAGAGCATCCACATTCAGTGGATATTATGGAGATAATGTCAGATGAATTATCTTGGGTGGGGATAATAACAAATGTGGGGTGGGGTTATTTATCAAAATATTTGTCCTGCAAAATTGGGGAGATTGGCAGAAAAAGAAGAAAAATAAAGAAAAGAAAAAGGGGCTGCTGTGTGCGTTTCGCGCACAGCAGCCCGCCCATACGGGCGTGTCAGGTGTGCTTGACCTTTTAGTTTTTTTTTTTGTTTTTTTTTTTGTTTTAAAATTTTTGATTTTGATTTTTTTTTTGTTTTTTTTTCCTCCCCTTCCCACATTCTCTCTCCTAATCATTCTTACATTATCCCTCAATTCTGCCCAACCATTGTGGATGCTCTTAGTACTTAATGTGATATGTCATGATTGTGTTGACCATTATTATGAGTTGTCATCCCAAACAAAAAATCATAATCAATAATTACATTAACGTATTATCTTTAAACGTAAAATAAACTCAAATTTATCTTTTAACGTTTTTTTTTTTTTGGTATACTCATAATTTTCACCGTTGAATACAATGACTAATTCACTCACTGAGTTGGAGGTATCTCTTTTGGATGGAATAACTGGCCTGAAAATTTAAGGCTACTATCTTTTAACGTATTATTAATGATTACAATAAACTCAAAATAATTTTTACTTTATATATATAGCGCATGCATATCCCTATCATTGTTACATCTTACTATAGGAAAGCGATAAATGTGCTTATGGAGTAAAATTTTCATTGCTTGCTTATTTTATTTTATGTGACGAGAGAAACCCGCCTTCTTATTTAAAGATAAGCACTTGATAAATTTTGTTTATCTGCAATAGTCCGCACGGCATATTTTGGTTCTATTATAGGAAGAAGACGAAATGAAAAATATCGTGACATTCTTTTTTTCTTCAAAATCAATAACAACATAACATCAATAGTAAAGAAAATAGAATAAAAGTGAGAGTAATTGTAATTACTTATAATATATTTCTAGCTTCTCAACATGTACTTAATTATGAACCACCACAACCACCTACTTAGCTTGTCTTGTTATTACACATGATTCTTGTCTTTGTAATAGCACTTTATATGCGATTAATACAATATTTTTCATGTGACGTATATTCGTTCACTATTGTCGTTATATTATTGTTTATGACAATTCAATCCTTATTTGTCATAACTCGTTCATTCATCGGGTTATATAATTCGGACTCCTAAATTAATATAATCGATCATTAATGCTCTACTTTATATAACCATTGTAATTGTCTACTTAACTATCATTATTACATTATGAGATTTTCGTAAAAAAAATAAAGAAGAAAAAAAAAAAAAAAAAAAAAAAAAAAAAAAGTTGCACATTGATTGCACAAATGCTGCCCAACAGGTGTGATTACTTGGGGATTTTGGCTTGAGCGATGTGCATTTCAATGGGAAAGTACACCGTCAACGGTAAAACGAGGCGGCGCCGATCAACTCCAGGAAGTCATTGAAGAAGGGAAAGATCATGGCCGCCCCCGCCGTGACTATCACTTAAGCCGTCCTCCATGTCAGCCGGAAGAAGTTCACCCAGTAAGCTCCCAAGCATGGAACCCTGATTGCGTATTCCGCCATGAATTTGCTCTCCGCCCATTTTAGCCCATCAAAATTACAAATCCATGGCCGAATTCGCGGGGACGGAGACCGGAATCGTAACCGCAATCCTACCGCCATCTACAACGCGCGAATCGACGCCGATCTCCTCCTCCGTCTCCTCCTTACCGGACACCACAGCTTTCGCCGTCACTTTCACATCCTTCGATTTCAAATCCATGGCCGAATTCGAGGGAGAGAGAGAAAAAACAAAAAGTTTTTTTTTTTTTTTTTTTTTTTTTGAAACAAAAGTCACTGCATTAAAATATAGTAGTGTTCGTACAGACTAATCCCGATAAACAGCGAGGGATATAATCAAAAAGCTCACACAACTCACTAGTTGAACTACGTAGAGATTTCTTGGCTACTACATGGGCCGGCATATTTAACTCACGATGGACGAAAACAAAATATACCGACTCCATCTGTTGCAAAGAGGCACTAATCTCATTAATCAAACCACCATATGGAGTAGAATTACCACCTTTCTTTACCGCTGTGGTGACAACTTGGGCGTCAGTTTCAAGAATCACACGTTGCCACCCCTTTCTCTTGATCCAACTAAGTGCTTCCCGGGCACCCATAGCCTCCGCCTCCCGTACCGTGAAGAGCCCCTCAACACAACGCATTGCGATACCATGTACAATCCCCTCTTCATCTCGGACAACCCACCCAAACCCCATCCTCCTATTTTCAAAATCCATAGCAACATCAATGTTCATTTTCAAAAACTGCGGTGGAGGGGGCTGCCACTGCCTTTGGTTTTGTTGCTGACCAGTATGATGTACCTGGTTTGGGGCATTAGATTGAACAGCTTTCCAGTTTGTCACAAATCCGAAGGCCTGGCGGACCAAGGATGTAGGATCTTTACATTGATTATTCCAAACCATATCGTTCCGGTTCTCCCAAATGGCCCAGCAAACCACCACTACTTTCTCACACACCTCTTGTGATAAGGTATTCCACATGTCATTTATCCAATCTTGAATAGAATGCATTAGAGCCATCCCCCAGTCTTTACTTATAATCCTCCAACAGTCATGAGCAAACCTACAGTTTGCAAAGATATGAACTGCAGTTTCTGCTTCAAGGCCACATAGAGGACAAGTAGGATCACACCGTACCTGTTTGACAATTAAAGAATCCTTAGTAGGAAGCTTCTGATTACATAAGGTCCAGAAAAAACACTTAATTTTTGGTGGTAGCTTCAACTTCCAAACTTCAGTCCACCCATTATTTCCATCATCCACACTCAAGCCCCGAGCAACCGTATACGCACTACGGACTGAATATATACCATGATCTTCCCTACTCCAGAACAAGGCATCACGAATGGGTAAAGAGGGGGTAGGAAGGCTCAGTATAAGAGAGCTATCTCTAAAGCAAAAAATGTCCCTAACCAACTCCACATCCCAGGTTGTTGTACCATTGACAAAGAGTGACTTAACCACAGGGTTATTTAGATAAGAAGGCTCAGGAGTAGACACAAAAGGGTTTATGTTATCCGGTAGCCATGGTTCCTGCCACACTCGCACTGTTTCCCCATCCCCTATTCTCCATCTAATCCCGTCCCGCAATAACCCCTGAGTTTCACGAATACTGGACCAAACAAAGGATGGATGTGACCCCACATTTGCTTCTAAAAAAGAACAATGAGGGAAATATCGGGCTTTAAACACTCTAGATACCAAAGCTTCGGGCTCATTCAAGAATTTCCAACCTTGTTTCCCCAACATAGCAAGATTCATTTCTCTCACCCTTCGGAACCCCATCCCCCCAACACCCTTCGGCCTACATAAGCCACCCCACGTACTCCATCTAATTCCCGCCCTGTTATTCGCACACCCCCACCAAAAAGAATTCATAAGTTTCTCAATATCATCACATATCCCTTTTGGTAGAAGGAAAACATTCATAGCGTAGTTAGGAATACTTTGAAGGACAGTTTTTAGCAAGACCTCACGCCCCCCCCTAGACAGGAAACGATTACCCCAATGGAGAATCCTACTACGCACCTTTTCGCGAACAAAACCCAGAATCTCCTTCTTACGCCTCCCTACATACCCCGGCAGGCCTAAGTAGCTCCCCCGACCATACTGTTCATGAATACCCAATATTTCACAAACAGCCTCCTTATCCTCCCTAGCCACATTATTTCCAAAGGTTACTGCAGACTTTCCCAGGTTAATTTGTTGCCCACTAGCCTGGCCATAAAAAGTTAAAAACAACAACAAACCTACGCTCTCTATTTATAGATCCTCTGTACAAAAGATCAAACGAGAAGCTCTGTGAGGACTGAACACCGAGAATTCCTGAAGAAGAAAGCTTTGCCGCCTCCCTATTTATAGATCTTGTTGATTGCACTGACGAATATGGGTCTCAGGGCACAGCAACATTGGCGTGCACACTAAGGGCATATCAGGAATTTCACACCGCACGTTCTCCTTGACTTCTAGACGAAGGAGCTGCCCGCGGATTAGGTTGCAATTAATATTAATGACTCAGCATTTAGCAATCCTCATAATTTGGGCTTTAATCGGGCCTTTTTTTTTTTTTTTTTTATATTTCTTCGGCCCAAAGAAATTCCAGAATAATTTTTTATTCTTTTTTTTTTGGGGTCAAATTAAAATTAATATATATATATATATATATATATATATATATATATATATATATATATAACTGGTACTCATGGGTGAGATTATTGCCGAGGTTTGACATTAGTCTTTTAAACCTGAGCTAAGTTCGTGCGGGTAATAATTCATCAGATTACGCTTACATAAACAATTCAGCAGTGACCAACCAACTACTATAGACGGTTTATATTTATTGTAATTGACTAAATTCAATTCAAAATATTAAAAATGTCATGTATGACATAGGGGACATAGGGTAAACTTCAGTGAAAGTGAATATATTTTCGACTAGGATAAAATTGATCAGTGAATATTAAAAAGATGTAGGATCTCTTTAAGGATTATTCTTATTGGTTTGGTGATATTTTAACTTTGTTTTTTAATATTAAATAATTTTTATTCCCATGACTTAGAATAATGGATGATTTTGTTCCTTTTTGGGGAAATGGATTCTAGTCTAGTCTACATATAATATGGTGTGAAAATGGAATGTTATTATCATAATTTGATACACACATTACATTGTTCCACCAAAAAAAAATCATACGAAATCTGGATATTTTAATTTCTATAGGGGGAGGGAGGAGATTAAATGTAAATAACATGATATTAAACTAGTCCCAAAAGGATAATCATGTGAGTAAAGTATAGTCCCGATAAGGTACGTTATGAATTCGTTTATTATCAATATCCTCTCATTTAAATCCGTCACACATGATTATAATTGTGTTTAATACAAATTTAGAGAAAACAAATAAAATGTAATCTTTAATTTTAAACGGTCCTTTTAAAAAAAATGAAATTATTACTCGTTCATTCATCGGGTTATATAATTCGGACTCCTAAATTATTATAATCGATCATTAGTGCTCTACTTACTTTATATAACCATTGTAATTGTCTACTTAACTATCATTATTACATTATGAGATTTTGGAAAACAACAAAAAAAGAGAAAAGTTGCACATTGATTGCACAAATGCTGCACAACAGGTGTGTATGTGCAATCACTGGACGGACTGATGCTATATTTAACAAATAACAACTACATAACTATATCTTTTGCATTGAATTTTATAACAAAATTGCAAAACATACACATACTACACTTGCATTCACTATCATAACTTGAATTGCAGCATTGCAATTTCCACTTGGTAAAACAGCAACAAGTCCACTAATTGCCCAAATTTATTAATTAAAATGATATTAATGGAAGTGAGATTCCTGCCTGAAGTCCATTCTTACTATTTTTCTTTGCTCTGTAATTGTTGTCAGTCTATATGTGTATAGACAAACAAATTCAGCAAGTAATCGGTTTAGTTTTCTCGAACCAAACTGAAATAGTTTAGTTCGGTAATATACCGAACAACCGAACGGTATTGAATTCTTGTATACCGAACGGTTCGATAAAAAATCGATCCGAATTGTTCGGTAAAAAATTGAACTGAACCGAATATCGTTTGATTTTTTTTTAAATAATAATAATAATAATAATAATAATAATAATAATAATAATAATAACTAAATAAATAAATAAATAAAAAGTAAATCCAAGTCCCTTGCTGCTTGCTCTATCGTTCAGCTCATATTCTCACGGGTATCTCTCGTAAATGTTTTATTTGATTTCTTTATGGTTTGTTATCAAAAGTTCTATATTATGTGTTATGGTGTTTACATAGTCCATATCCAAAGTCTAATATATAACAAAATAGCAATCCAAAGTTCAAACAGTATTCGGTCTGGTTCGATTTTTACTGAACCGTTCGGTATACAAGAATCTACTACCGTTCGGTTGTTCGGTATATTACCGAATCTAACTAGTTTGGTACAGTTCGGTTCGAGAAAACTGAACCGAATTGCCCACCCTTAAAGTTAATTACCAAAATGGTCTCTTGACTATAACGAATTACCAATTTGGTCCCAAGTTAACGGTTGACTAACGGTCAAACAAACGGAGGACCAAATTGGTTAAGATTTTAAAAGTTGAGGGACTTAATTGGTCAAAAAATAATCAAGAACTAAATTGGTAATTTCGCTATAGTCAAGGGACCATTTTGGTAATTAAGTCTTAATTAATTTTAATGTTAGTTGATAAATCAAGAGGAGTGGCAGATTTGGTACACTGGGAACGCTACTGTTGGGTCCTCAAGGCCGACAGTTGTGTTATATATTTTTTGGTTACCATCTTGATCGAGGAAGGAAAGTTTGTGTGTTGGCCGATTTCTATGGGTGGAGGCCAGTAGGCCAGGGATCGAATCCTAGAAGGTATAATTTTGGTAGCTGCTCCACTAGGGATGACAATTCAACCCGCCCCCGATAGGAAAATCGATCCCCGCCCCGACGGAGGCGGGTTCGGGGAACGGGGGCGGGGATGGGGAGAATTTCTCCATCCCCGCTGGGGACGGGGACGGGGAGGGCATCCCCCGCCCCGTCCCCGGTTCCCCGAATAAATTTATTAAACCTCGAGTGCCAGAAATGCACACTTGTTCTGGTGCTTCTATGACGTATAGTGATTGGTTTAATGTTTCTAAGTGGATATATATTATTTTGTTTTGAAAACAGTGGATATATTTTCTAGTTGAAAGCAGCAGCAAATTTGTATTTCATTCTTGAATGGTCCAGAGCTTGAATAATTGTCATTTAAAGAATCTAGTATTTCCAAGATACGCTATGTAGAATTCGCTGGACCTAATGGCTATCTGATTGGTTAGGCACATTATGACATTATATCCTTTAATTACCTATTGTGAACACATAAATAATGAAATTGGCCTAAATATTAAGAATTAAAATTTTTTTAAAAAAAAAACGGGGCGGGGAATCCCCGTCCCCGAAACATCCCCGCGGGGACGGGGATGAGGATATTTCCCCATCCCCGATCGGGGAATGGGGCGGGGACGGGGAATGGGGATTCAATTCGGGGACGGGGACGGGGACCCCACTCCCCGGCCCCGCCCCGCCCCGTTGCCATCCCTATGCTCCACTCATGGAAATAACGCGTGCTGAAGATAGATGCCTATATTTGTGAGATGCATACGTTGAAGACCAGGAGACCGTGTGGACCGAGCTGCTGACCGCATGACAAGGCTATTGAAGACGTTGACTTAGCTGATGTGGATGTTGACCGTGTTGACCAGATCGCAACATGTTCTTATGATATTAGGCGTGGTCTAGTTTGAGATTTTTGCTCTTTTTGTCCCTTGATGTAATTATTTAATAATTATGTGATTTTGTATAGTGATACAGTAGTCGAAGGCATGGGAAATTACCCACTATAGCCGTGACTACATAAATGCTCTTATCGCTCACTTCACCTAATTGATGAGGGTCTAGTGGGCACCATTTTCGAGGTATGTCCTGAGTACATCTGTACACCCATCTTTGCTTTTATTTACATTTCCATTCATCAATTGGAATAAGCTTTAATTTAAGAGGCGTCTTAGTTTTGCTATCAAAAGCGTGTATTGTTGAGACTTCTATGCCGTTTGTATTCTTATTAAAATTTTAAATTTAATCATTGTATTATCCAAATAAATCTATAAATATATGCTTTTATGGTATGTTACTCATCAAATCAATATTATATTTTTCAATTTAACCATTTGTATATATTAGATTATGCAAGTCCCTTCCAGCATAACCAGAAGTTTTGTTGCTTAAAGAAAGTGCTTATCAAAATGATTTTTTTTCTCCTTTATTATATATATATATATATATATATATATATATATATATATATATATAACTGTGCATTTTAGGCGTGGAGTACTGCAGTATATTAGGGCATTGGGTGGGGTCGTCCATTAATAATAATAATAATAATAAGTTAAATGTCATTTTTACCCTCCTATTTAACAGTCCTAACACTTACTTAACGGAAAGGGGGAAAAATAACCACTTCAAAAACAATTGAGGGGGATAAAGTGGTTACATAAACAACACAGGTGGGAAATGTGCTATTAGTAAACAACACATGGGGAAAAAGTGTCATTTTTCCTTTAATTATTGTTATATTATTATTATGACTCACGGAATTTTCAGGGGACACAAATGAATGACACCTGGCAGCATATAGAAGATCCACCTCAACTGCCCTCAACTGACATCTGCTACTTTCTGTTTCTTTCCCTCTTTCTTTCTGTTTTCCTCTCCCTTCTTTGTATATAATAAGCTCCCAATTGTATACAGAACAGTTTTGATGATTAAGACAAAATAGATTCTTCTCTCCCCTTTTCATAGCAAAATATCCTTTCTCTTTAGGCTCCGCGACATGGTATCAGAGCAAGCAAGCAGGAGCTCTTGAAGATAGATCGCATGGCAGCCTGGCCTACGATTGGCACACGATCAATTCCGATCAACAACGCTACTGGAATTCCGGCGACTGGATCTCCGATAGCCAGCCCTACTCCGATGACTACTCCCATTCCGATGACTCCTCCTCCTCCGATAGCGACAGTGACGGAGGTAATCTATGATCCTGAAACTCATTCAAATCCCTATTTCTTGAGTATTAACGAAAATCCGGCATTAGAACTGGTTTCTTCCCCAATGGATGGGACGAACTATCACCCTTGGTCAAGAGCCATGTCTATGGCCTTGTCCTGCAAAAATAAGC